CCAGAAAAATTCTTGTCTATTGGTAACCAGCCTTAGAAAGTATTGAATGGTTTATAATTCATTAGGAGTGATAAATTTACCCCTTGAGATAAATCATTCCCTAAATAGTGTGCTTTGTTCTGACAAACTTCTAAACTTTTTTTGAAACTTTCATGACCTTGCTAAAACAGTAAGTTGGTAAATGGAATAAATCTTACAACTCCCCTCATCTTTAGAACACAGAAAAAATGTGTCCCCATATTATACAAGTGTAGTGTTACAGGGAAGTTTAATATCCTTAAGATTCTTCAGTAAATCCCTGAGGCATCACTGTCCAGGTAAATTTTTGACTTTCCCAGGAAAAAACAAATAGGTATTGACTTATCTTGATCTAAAGGAACACTGTATAAAGCACAACACGTATCTATAAGTGGTAAAAAAAAAAAAAAAAAAAGGTAGCTTCAGGTAGCACTGAAGATAACATAGTACTTGGGCTCAGTAGTACAAAGAAGTGGGTAAAATGTTTATTTTATTTATGGTCTTAAGGTATTGAACAAATCTTTATCTCATTCATTGGGTCTTTTGACTAAAACAACAGTGTTCAAAGGCTAGCTCAATTTTACTGTGCCTATTTTTATGCTAGTCATACTCATAAGGTATGACTCATCTTTTCTTGATTAGGCCTTTGTACTATTGGCTTTAGTTCTTCTTTAGCATCTGGTTTTAGAGGTATTTTATAAACATAGGTAGAGGTTTATTTAGATGGGTAGATCTGAACCTTACTGCCAAAGTCGGTAAAACTTTTTGCCCACAAAGCAGCCACTTCATGGAGATCTTTAATTTGGTTTGATCATACGCAAATGTACCAGTAAGTCAACATCCAAATTAGCTATGATCTGATTATGAACAGGAAAGTTGTCAGTGATCTGAGGGGGAAAAAAAAAAAAATAGAAGGGAACTTAATTTTGCAATTCTTTTTATATAATAAATCCCTGTCTTTTAATTTGATGGGCATGATGTCCTAAAGGAAAATAATATTTCTCATTTTGAGATACAAGGTTAGCAGTTACAGACTGAAACAGGGAGAATATCTGTGGATTATTTGAGCTACCCCTATCTGAGTAGCTCATTGACTCCAAGGGAGAGGTTACTTTTAACATTTAGAGAGCTTTCTCTTTGCAAGTTTGAGAATCAAATAAGAAGTTGAATACCTGATTTCTCCCTGAGCAGTGTCATTGATTTGCCCACTGATTTTTTTCTTTTATTTTCTTAGCTAGACCATGACAATTATTTTTCTATGTACTTTCTGCATAGAAGTATTTACAGGTGTCTTTACCAAGAGGCACTGTCCTCTAGTGCTTGATGACTGTAATGGGAGCGTTTAGTTATTTTATCTGTGAAGCCATTGGTTTATTTTATTTGTATTCTAAGCCTTTTTTGAAGATGTAGATTTAGAGATCTGGTAGTAGAGCTATTTCCCATTACAAATTTATTACATATTAAAATTCCTTGCTTCTGTATTTAAGGCTGTTCACAAAAAGAGAGGAAAGAGCTGGAGGTCACATCTTCAGAATCTACTCCTCAAGGAACCTATCCCTGAAGTCTTTAATGGATTCATTCCTTCCTTCCTTCCTTGCAGATGTGGTTAGAGTCAACTTTATTTTCCAGGAAGAACTTTGAGGATAGCCTCTGAAAGATTTAGTCAAACATCTACAGCTTTTCTAAATCTGTCTGGTTTCCTAAATGGTTTGAGACTTCCTAAGTCATTCTTGGGATGTTCTCACTTTGCCTTTTTCATTCATTTTTTTTCAGCTGATATAGATCTAGGAACAGATAATATTATTTTTTAAAATTAGCTATGGGAATTATATATATATATATATATATATATATATATATATATAAATTTATTTTACAAAGATGGGGTTTCACCATGATGGCCAGGCTTGTCTGAACTCCTGACTTCAGGCAATCCACCCACTTCGGCCTCCCAAAGTCCTAGGATTACAGGCGTGAGCCACTGCACCCAGCACGGGAATTATTTTTAATTACCAACTACAGGAAAAAGTTGTGTGAGAATAAAAGTTAATCATGGCTTACTATATGGCTCAATATTGAATAATAATTACATAATCCTAACAGTGTAAATACTATTAGTTTAAGCCACAATTTTGATATAACTCTTTTGGAAGAATAGGGAGGGAGATGTGGGATAATAGTTATATAAGAAAGTTAAACTTCCAAGTATCATAATAGTGTCACAGGATTCTTTGAGTGTCACCTTACAAGCCAGAAACCTCTGTGGCTGGCAGTGCCTCTGCTTGAGTTCTGCTCGCACCTGCTGGACTTGTTCTGTTCACTTGGTCTGGCAGGCTGCACTCAGCTTGCACTACTGGCCTGGATCCCACTCCTGCCAAGAGTGAGCCAGGAACATGGTGGCAAGGGGTTTATGAATGAGCAAGCCTGGGGTCCAGCCACTGTTCACAGCCAGGCACACTGGCTGCCGTGGCAGGACAGGCAGCTCCAGGTGCCAGCATAGTGCCAGCTCTGTGTGAGGCTGCAACTGGACAGACATACAAGCGGCTTCCACTGCAGGCACCAGTGTCTGGATGAAGGGAATGTGGTGGTGTGCAAAAGCTTAGAGATGCCAGGAACCGTGGAGCCCCAAAGAGGGTGTTACCACTGCTCACAGCTCTTGCCTGGGGAGCCCTGAGGTCTGGGCTCCCAGAAGGGCTGGAGCTTTTCTCTTCCTCTCATCACCTGCAGTGTGGCAAGTGGTGGGATGTCTTTCAGCCTGTTTGTGTCACAGCTCTTTCAGTCCCTCTGCCCTGCACCAGCCCATGGCTCCTGGGCTGGCCTAGCCCCACTGCTGCTTCCAGTTGCAGGGTGTGGCCACCCAGCACTGGCAGAGGCTGGGAGAGCTATAGCATTACAGCCCCTTCCTTTAGCTCCCACCTGCAGCTTGGCAAGCCCACCAGGAAAGTGTTACAGCTTCTTTTGCTTCTGCCGTTTGGTGGATTCTGAGTTCTTGTCCCACATCCAGGAAGAATGAGATTATACTGACAACTGGAGGGTGAGCAAGGCAGAGAAGAGCTTTATTGGATGACCAAACAGCTCTGAGTGGAGAGGAGACCTGAAGTGGGCAGCTCCTGTGTGCAGGCAGATAGTGCAGATGAGTGTCTGAGTCCAGGGTTTTTATGGGCTTAGAGTGGAGGAAGTGTGTACTGATTGGTTCATGGGTAGGTCCAGAAAAATACTACTTGATTGGCCAAAGACATCAAGGAAGTTCTCATTCCCCTGCCACCACTTCATCCAGAACTGGTAGCCCTGACCCAAGGCTTTAGGCTTGAAGGTGGGGTATCACTGGTGACCCTTTCTGCCTAGGGGCACCTCCTGTCACCATCAACATGCCATCTGTAGTGCCCAGGCTATCCATCTGGAGGGTCATCTGCAGACCCATGCCGAGCCACCCTCGGCCCTCTGGCCTCCCTCCCGTGCTCATTGGTGTCCTAAGTTTCACCCTCTGAATCAGCTTTCAGAGGGGGCCAAGGCAGCCAGGGTCTGGCATGTCAGTGCTGCCCAGAGTGTACACATATCTGTCTTGATTGCAACAATGCCCAGGCTTGGCTATCAGAACATGTCCACAACTTTGCTCTGTAGTGGAGCAGACATGGAGAACAGGGAGAGGCCAGGGAGTGGAAACAGGTACTTCCAGCTTTAGCTTCAAGGCGCCTTCCTTCCCACTGCCCCCACACCAAGAGTGCAGAGTGCAGGGATACCTAGGTTTAGAGCTGTAACTGGGCCGCTGTAACTGCACCTGGGAGCACAGTCTCCTGCCTTGCCAACTTAGTAGAGTGCAGGGCTCCTGCTGGGATCACCTGTTCCCAGCCCCTACTGACTTCACAGAGCCATAGCCCTGGCTGCACCTCCCTTGCTGCAGCTGGTGTCCTCTCAATGGCAGCTCCAGATGGGCCACTGCCATTATCAATAAGAAGTCAAAGGTAAACTTTTTAAGTTGCTAACTCAATGTATTATTTAGAAATATGAAGCAAACAATGGAAAAATTGAAAGTGGTTGCCACTTTTAGACCTAATTTTTAAATGATAAGAATTATTAACTTTGATAAAAATAGAAGAAGAATGTTAAAGTCTTCTAGAATAAAAAGAACAGAACATGCAACTTCGACCAAAGATGGGAGAAGGGGAAAAAAAGAAGTTGAATTACATATGTGGACTTTTTTCAGAAATTCTCTGTGGTAGTTTTGGTTCGTAAAAAATTATTCCAATGAACTTAAAGGTGTATATGTTGCCAGGTAAGCATTTTGCTTAGATGATAAAACTGGTTGTTGTTGTTTGGAAACCCTAAGACGATAGTTTGCTTGTATACTAGGACTGCTGATTTGTTAATTTGAATAACTTTTGGTTAAAATATATTTTCTTGAAGAAAGGTTTGGAGCAAGCAATGTCCAAAGTTTAAACATTTTCGAAGCAATGTGTTTTTTTCCATGAAAAAAGCAATAGGAAGCAAAATTTTTTTATGATGATTCTGTGACAATTAAAAAATTATAAAATTGGGCCAGGTGTGGTGGCTTATACCTGTAATCCCAGCATTTTGGGAGGCTGAAGTGGGTGGATTGCTTTAGTCTAGGAGCTTGAGACTAGCCTGGGCAACACGGCAAAACCCCATCTATACAAAAATTACAAAAATTAGCCGGGTGTGGTGGCAGACATCTGTAATCCCAGCTAGTGGAGAATCTGAGGCAGGAGAATCATCTGAGTCTTGGAAGGTTGAGACTGCAGTGAGCTGAGATTGTGCCACTGCATTCCAGCCTAGGCAACAGAGACCCTATCTAAAAAAAAGAAAAAAAAAATCATAAAATTGGTTTAAAGTTGCATTCCAGGAGCCCAAAATAATACATGTAAAAAGTATGGTTAACTTCAACTTGTGAACCCAGTTAAGATTTAAAGCTGAAAGAGAGTTACTAGAATTTGTGTTTTAACTTGTCGTAATTTTTAAAACAGGAGGCTCTTCAGAATCAAAAGGAAACACTGGCAAAGCAACACAAGGAAGCCATGGCAGTTTTTAAAAAGCAGGTAATTTTCTAAGGATAGACAAACACTACCATTTTAAATATTGCATTTCCTCGCTCTCCCATGAATATTATGGCAAGCTGTTCTCTAAACTCACCAAAGACAAAAAGGAGAACAAGGTATTATGGGAAGTAGGAAATGAATAAACATAAAGTAGTAGAATGGGCTTGTTAAGGAGGGAAAGTGGGAAAACTATATTCCTGGAGATGGAGATATATTTTCATCTGTCCTAAATAATTTAGGTGAGTGGGATATGTGTGCTCTTGTTCTTTCTTTCCTCTTTCTTTTATTAGAACTCCTAGACTCTTGCTTCTTCCATAGTACCGTTTTACCCAAGTAGAGTGATAATGTTATGATCAAAATCTGAGATGCAAGTAGGGAGATGGTAAGGATTAGAAGAGATGATTATTATGTACTTGAAACCTCCATAAATATCAATCATGAATAACTAAGAAATAGTAGTACAAAAATGAGAAAAAAAATCAAGAAATGAATTGCTGTCCATACCTTCAGCTAATTTGAATTTGATAGCTTTTCTTGACTAAAATTTCTCTTCAGTTTCTAGTAAGAAAATATAATAGTTTTAGAAAATGTGCTCATGTAAAATATCCTGTGAAAGTGTCCTTATATCTATCTCACATCATTATTTTTTCTTCCTTTTTCCTTTCCTATCTTCATCTTTATAATACAAATGTGTGTAGATTTATGAATTTGTTTAAGCAAATGACAGACTTTCTTCCTTTAATCTGAGATAGGCCTAACCAAGGTTATGAGAGTTTTAATTGAAGGTTGAGGAAGCAAAAGCCAAAAGCGTAGCATAGTATTCTCTAGGAAAGGCCAATTCCACATCTTGGCTGTCACAAAGGACTTTGGGTAAGATATATCTGAAGGGTAGAGGAGAAAGTGCTCTAGGGTTGTTTTTTTTGTTTTCGCGTGTGTGTGTGTGTGTGTGTGTTTAAGAAAGGGATCTTGAATACGAGGAGTGGGAAAAAGGGAAGTTCTAAATAAAAATTTCATTTCTTGAAAATTTTGTCTAATACCCTTGTGCTACTGAGAATATTTCATAATCTTCCTTTGGTGTATGCACACTAGTTTTTCTGTTTTAAAATGTCATTTTATTTATCTATTTATTTATTTAGAAACAGTCTTGCCCTGTTGCCCAGGCTGGAATGCAGTAGCGCGATCTCAGCTCACTGCAGTTTCTACCTCCAGGGCTCAAACCTCCCACCTCCTCAGCTCACTGCAATCTCTACCTCCCAGGGCTCAAATTCTCCCACCTCCCATGTAGCTGGGACTACAGGTGCTTAAAAAAAAAAAAACTTTTTTTTTTTTTAAGTTTTTTTGTCAAGACAAGTCTCACTATATTGCCCAAGCCAGTCTCAAACTCTTGGGCTCAAGTAATTCTCTCGCCTCAGCCTCCCAAAGTATTGAGATTATAGGCATGAACTACCATGCCTGGCCTTTAAAAAGTCATTATTTTTTTTAAACAGGTCATAATTTGTTAGGCTACACATGAGTTAAAAAAAATTTTAAACATAAATACTGTCAATGCTAATACAAAGGATATTGATTTACAAAACTGTACTTTTGAAAATGATACAAGCTGTTATTTAGGCATAGATGGCAAAATATTTAGACATTTTAAAAAAACTTCTGGAGGAAAAGACAAAATTTTCAAGGATAATTGGTATCTCTAATCAGTGTGATTAATGCTAATTTTGAGCTGGGTGCAGTGGAGTGCACCGGTAGTCCCAGCTACTTGGGAGGCTCAGGCAGGATCCCTTGATTCCTGGAGTTGGAGTACAGACTGGATAACTTGGCAAGACCTGATCTCAAATAAATAAATAGTTTATTTACTTTGGTGACTGGCTTTTTTCTCCTTTTATGTCATTATTTTATTTTCTGAATCTGAAAGTAACATATTAACATTATATCCATTTCAAGCAATATCGATGTGTAAAATGTTTTAGTGTCAGTGACCAGTGTAGATCACTGTTAACAGTTTACCTTACTTTATTTTAATTTTTAAAATTGTTTATCAGTTGCAAATGAAGATATGTGCCCTGGAAGAAGAAAAGGTATTTATTAATTTTTTAAATTTTCTCTCTGTTAAAGGTATTTATTTTTAGAAAATAATTTAAAACATAGCTAAATGCCTTTTATTATCTGTTGTTTACCATAACAGAAAAGGCCTTTAGTAACAAACTAACGGAGATGGTTAACTGCTTAAAATCTTAGAAACAGAAAGGACCCAAGATAATCATGTTACTTCACTTCTAGTTCAGAGTACAGAGGCCTAACAAGATTAAATGACTTGCCAAAGGTCTCACTTTGAAGTTGCAAAATTGGAACTAGAACCCAGACCTCTTCAGGCGCCAAATTAATGTTCTTCCCATTCTACTGCAATGTTTCTATTAACCATGATATGTTTTTAGTGCTTTTTCAATGTAATTACTGTCTTTAAAAAATATGGGCCAGTTGACGTGGCTCATGCCTGTAATCCCAGCACTTTGGGAGGCTGGGGCGGGTACATCACAAGGTCAGGAGTTTGAGACCAGCCTGACCAACATGGTGAAACCCTGCCTCTACTAAAAATACAAAAATTAGCTGGACGTGGTGGCAAACGCCTGTAACCCCAGCTATTCAGGAGGCTGAGGCAGGACTCAGGAGGCGGAGGTTGCAGTGAGCCGAGACGAGATCACGCCACTGTACTCCAGCATGGGCAACAGAGCGAGACTGTGTCTCAAAAAAAAAAAAGGAAATGTCTAGCAACTGAATGCAGACCAACTGGCAAAGGATAGAAAGCGCCAACAAGCCTGGAAATTTATCTGGCACTAAATAGATTCTCTAGCTATTTAATAGTTAATACATATTTTTATTTTATCAATGAACATACCATTAATAATAATCACTTATAGTTTATTTTTAACCAAAGGTCTTGTTTAAAAAATTCTCCCATATTTTTATATTCTTTAGACAAATATACCTGTATCTTATTAATTGGAATATATTTATTTTAGTTATATGAATTAAGTAATTATAAAATATCTCAAGTTCTCAGGTAGGATGCTCTACTGATAAAATGATTTGTCATTATAATAAGATATTCTATTTCATGATAATTGTAACCATTTAAAGGCTTATAATTTTATGATATTTTGAAATCATTAGAAATGTAATTTGTAGTACAGATACAGGATTAAAGGCTGTGAAATATTTGGTTTACAGTAGAGATTTCGGTTCTTGAACTCTTATGTTTTACCCTTTTGTATTATCATTTGCATTGGAAAGTATTGAAATAGAGTTTTTTACTTAAAGGGAAGATATCAACTTGCTACAGAAATAAAAGAAAAAGAAATAGAGGGATTGAAGGAAACATTAAAAGCACTACAGGTAAAAAAGTATTGTTTAAAAAGTAGTAGTTATTTTAGCATTGTATCAGTAAAATTCCATTAGATATGTAAGCTGCAAAGCTGACAAAAATTCATATCTAATATATTATATAATTTAATACTTTTTCCTAAAAGCCTTGTGTCAAATTAGGAATTTTGGTTTACCATATTTTATTTTTTAAAAAATTAAAATAATTTTTAATATATCTCATATTAATATAGTTAAATAGATATATTTTTAACATTTCATACATAAGGAAAATGAGTAAGGCATATATATGGTAACTGATTTACTCATGGTCCTTAAAAATTAACATAGCATTACCTGAATTTTTACTTTTTGCTAAGTACTGTGTTTATTTTCTGCAAATACAAAAACTAAGAAAATATTACCTTTGCCCTTAAGTTGTTCATAGTCTCATAGAGAATACAGAAATATTTAATGAGGATTAATTCAATGTATATTGAAGGTCTACTGTGTACAAACACTTTTCTCAGCATTGAGGATGCAGCAATGATAAGACAAAAATCTCTGCCCTTGTGAAGCTTACAGTCTAATGGGGAAGACAAAAAGTAAAATGAAGTAACTAATGAAATAACGATTGTTGGGAAGATAATACTCATGCAATTTCAGATAACATTAATTAAAAAGAGCAAAATATATTTTTATGTTAGGATCCTGAAGGTCACCACTTTAATCAAGTGATTGAGTCTAGCACTGTTAATAATGGTACAGCTTTTCCATGGATCCACTGTTATTAAGGAGCACAGAACTGCACCTATGTAATTTTCTTGCAAAAAATATTTGAAATCTAATTATGGTGAAACAATTAGACACAATCACAATGTGTGATACATCCTATAAGCCATCTAAGCTGGACTAAAATCACTTCAGTGTTAAACAAGGAAACAACAGACACTGGGTCTACTTGAGTATGGAGGATGGGAGGAAGATGAGGATCATAAAAGGACCTATTGGGTTCTGTGCTTATTACCTGGCTGATGAAATCATACACCCAACCTCTGTGACATGCAATTTACCTATATAACAGGCACATGTACCCCTGAACCTGAAAGCTAAAACCAAACCAAAACAAAACTTAAGTGTAATGAAAAAAGAAAGGGGATCTACTCATGATTAAAAGAATAAAGAGAGGCCAAGGCAGGCAGATCACTTGAAGTTGGAGGTTAAAGACCAGCCTGGCCAACATGGTGAAACCCCGTCTCTACTAAAAATACAAAAATTAGCTGGGCGTGGTAGGTGTGCACCTGTAGTCCCAGCTACTTGGGAGTCTGAGGCAGGAGAATTGCTTGAAGCTGGGAGGTGGAGGTTGCAGTGAGCCGATATCGTGCCATTGCACTCCAGCCTGGGGGACAAGAGTGAGACTTTGTATGAAAAAAAAAAAAAAAAAGAAAGAAAAAGTGGTTGCCAGGGGTTGAAGGAGGAAGAGATGAAAAGGCAGAGCACAGAAGATTTTTAGGGCAGTAAAAAATACTCTGTATGATACTCGAATGGTGGACACATGTCATATACTTGTCCAAACCCATAGATTGTATAATAACAGCAATGAATTCTAATGTAAGCTGTGAACTTTGGGTGATAATGATGCCAGTGTAGGTTCATTAATTGTAACGAACGTACTTGTATTAGTCTGTCTTCACATTGTTATAAAAAGCTACCTGAGACTGAGTAATTTATAAGAAAAGAGGTTTAATTGACTTACAGTTCCACAGCCTATATAGGAAGCATGGCTGGGAGGCCTCAGGAAACTGAAAGTCATGGCGGGAGGGAAAGTAAGCATGTTTTACCGTGGTGGAGCAGGAGAGAGAGAGTGCTAAGGGGAAAGTGCTACATGCTTGTAAACAACCAGATCTCATAAGAATTCCATCATGAGACAGCGCTAAGGGGTTGGTGCTAACCATTAGAAACTGCCCTCATTATCCAATCACCTCCACTAGGCCCCTCCTCCAACAATGTGGGATTACAATTTGACATGAGATTTGGGTAGGGACACAGAACCAAACCCCTCTGCTGGGGGATGTTAATTATGGGGGGTTTTATATATGTGTGGGGCAAAGAATATATATATCTCTGTACCTTCCTCTGGATTTTGCTGTTAACCTAAATCTGCTGCTCTAAGAAATTCTTTTGAAAATCATTCTCAGTCCTACACCTTCCTAAACTGAATTACAATCATTCTTGTTATTACTAAAATATTTGTGTTTTCTTTTTTATAATTTAAGAGCTATTTTGTGACATGAAAATTAATATATTTATTTTTTGAGAGCAATTTAAGTCATTATCACTTCAAGTATTACCTTCCCCACCAAGTCTTTATATTTTCTCCTTTCAAACTCCAAAGAAGATATATTTTGAATATTCTCATTCTATCCTTCATGTCTCTATACCTTATATACTTTCTATTTCTTTATGCCTGTGAGCTTGCAGTATCTTATGTAATTTCCTTAGATACATCTTTTAGTTCACTAATTCTTCAACTATGTTTTCTCTGCCATATAACTTATATTCTAAGTTTTTAATTTTATAATGGCCTTTTTCTTTTATAGTTGTTCTACTTGGTGCTTTTTAAAATTTGCCTTTTTATGGTATCATATTTTTCTCATATTTCTGATCTTTTATATCTCTAATCATTAAAAATATTTTTAATGATATCTTTGAGATTCTTCTGTTATCTTTAATTATTGGTGAGTATAAGACTTCCTGTTTGCTGTGGCTGCCTGCTGATGCTCCCTCATTGTAAATCTTCCTTTTTAATGTGGTTCATAAATTTTAAATTGTGAGCCCCTCTTTAGTGGAGGCAGTATTTTTCTGATCAACTTGTGGAAGTCTTCCTACAGAGCTCTTCTGCATTAGCTTCTGTTCTGAGCCTCACGGGTTTCACAGAACAGTTTCTGGTTGTTACCTTAATTTACCATCTAGGATGTACATACCAGGCAGGGAGTGTATATTATTAGGACTTTATACCCTTTTGTACTACAAGTTTAGGTTTTTTTTATTTCTCATGGAATAATTTTTGGTTTTGGACCAGTGATCTAGGCAAAGACATTTTGTTGTGCTGGTAGGCTGAGTTCTTCTAGTCTTCCTTTCTTGGAGTTACCTGTTCTTCTAGAGTCCTTTCTCTATACTAAACTTATAGATTTCTTGGCTTTGTGCTCACATGGATATTAAAATCCTGACCTTGCCATGAAAGCCTGTATCTGTGTGTAGGGGATTCTGGATTACCAAAGCATCAGCTTGCATACTTACAACTCTGACTGTGGGTTTCCTGTCTTACTTTTGATGTCTGACAGTTTTCTTATTTTTCTTTTAAACTTCAGCTGCATATTAACTTCTTTTATTGGGGCTGTATATTTTTCAAAGATTTCACGTTAGTTCATTCCACAATGTTTTTAAGAATCACTTAAGTTTTCTTCTTTTGAAACTATCATAAACTTTTAGAGATATTGGAAGTACAATCCAAAGAACTTACTTTCCTGAATGATTTGAGAATAATTTGCCAAACTGATGCTCTGTCTTCTCATTACTATAGTATATTGTTCTTACAATAAGTTACATTTTCCTGTGAAGCCATAACGCAGCAATCAAAATCAAGAAGTTAACATTGGTACATAACTATAATGTTCAGGACTCATTTCATCCAGTTGTCCCAATAAAGTACTTGATAGCAAAAGGATCCAGTTTAGAATCCCGTTTGTATTTAGTTGTCATAAGCCCTTTAACCTCTTTCCTACTCTTTGGTTGATTTTTATAACTTTGACACTCTTGAAGCTCACAGTCCACTATTCTGTAGACTGTTCCTCAGTTTCTGTTTATACAGTGTTTCCTCATGGTTAGATTCAGTTTGTGTATATCTGTCAGGAATATTGCAGAAGTAATGCCATATTCTTCTTATCGAATCCTATCAGATAGTTAATGGTTTCAATTTGTTTTATTGATGGTGATGTTCACTCTGATAATTTGACTAAGGTAATATCTGACAAGTTTCTCTACCGTAAGTTTACTCTTTTCTCCTTTGTAATCACAGTATTTTATGGAGAGGCATTTTGAAACTATGTAAATACATTTCTCACCAAACTTTTAATATATTTATTTATATCAATATAGACTCATAGCTTCCTGCTTTGTACAATGGATTAAAATATTTCACTACCATTTATTTTTATCAAATTATTATTGGTTTGGCCAGTGGGAGTCTATATAAGATGGCTGCTGAGTATTTTTGACATGTCTTCATCATTCTTTTACCATTTTTCTGCTTTCAGATAAAATAAAATGTACCAGGATCACCTTATACTTTACCTGATCTTGTCCTAGAATAAACCATTTCTCCATGTTACCCTGGTTCCTGTTAGTAGAAAATGGCATACAGAAACCAAGACCTGAGTGCTATTACAATTATTACTGTTGGAGTGTCATTATTTTCAGATCCCCTCAGTGGACAGAGCTAGGGAATATATGTTTAAATTTACATACATACATGCATATACACATACACTTACAGCTATATTTTTGTATCTATGTATTTTGAAAACCATTAATTAGCACTACTGCAAATTACAACCCCAAACCACAAAGATTGTTTTAGTTATTTCCTTTGTGTATTTATACTTTTCTTCTCTTTCAGTGAGAAATCTGACTTTCATTATCACTAAGACATTGACTTATTTTATAAAACACCCTGTTATGTAACCAGTCCACCATTCCACTGCCCCCTCTTCCCTTATGTGGATGTCTTCCTTTTCCTGCTTGGATTCTGACACCTTCAGCTGGGTTGCACTTTTGCAGGGTTACCCTCCTCACCTTACTTAGTTTCTGACTCCCCACAGTAGACAGCCCTCCCTTACATGGGGGAACCCTCTTCTCTACATTCAGGCCTGTTATTCTGTTCTGGAGTGCTCTAGACACAACCCCCTCACCACTTCCCCACAGACCCCCTACCTTATTCTACCTAACCTACAGGACTTAAGGCTGAACTGTTTAAGAAGAGGAAGGGGTTAAATGTTTTAAACATAGTATTTGGGGAACTTTATTCCCAACTAACATAAATTTAATAAATGGAAAATTAATGGGAACATAAGATTTTCTTTAAGGCAGTGTGCTTTCCAGTTAACTTTGCTTATAATTTTTCATAAAGTGAAGGATATCTATAATAGGAAAACATTTGTGTTTTATTTTGAAATTGCCTTCTATAGTTAATACATTAGCATCAGCATAGTTTTGTTCTGATATTAAAAGTTTGCCTATATCTGATATTAACCAATTTTTAAATAACTAAAAATATTAAATATAGCATCTATAAAAATACTGCATGTCAATCCAATTATATTATTTTCAAATTCATCTATGTGTCAGAAATGCAGCTATGTGGGAGTTTATTAGTTGGGCAGTGCTCTAGAGATATTGATAAAATATAGCTGTAGACTGTAATTGAGAAATAGTAAAATGCAGTGGTGATAATGTGTGTGAAGAATGGTGGCCTGAAATAATTTGGTAAATTTGCTCTAGATGTAGTTTTATCTTTGGTTAATGGTAGGAGATAATAAATTCAGGATTAGAGTAATATATTGTCTTCTGAATTTTGTCTTTTTATTTTTTCCCTCTTATTTTTTTAGATGACCTCAACCATTTTCCTTGGCTTTTATGCTGAATGCCTTAAAAAGTACTCTGATCGGCTGGGCACGGTGGCTTAGGCCTGTAATCTTAGCACTTTAGGGGGGCTGAGGTTGGCAGATCATGAGGTCGGCAGTTCAAGACTAGCCTGACCAACATGGTGAAACCTCATCTCTACTAAAAGTACAAAATTATCCTGGCATGGTGGCATGTGCCTGTAATCTTAGCTACTCAGGAGGCTGAGGCAGGAGAATTGTTTGAACCCGGGAGGCAGAGGTTGCAGTGAGCCAAAATTGTACCACTGCATTCCAGCCTGGGCAACAAAGCGAGACTCCATCTCAAAAAAAAAACAAACAAAAAAAAAACCACAAAACTCTGATCTCATCCAGGGTCATGTCTTTAAAATGGGATCTACATACAGATGACTTCTAAATGTGTATGTCCTAACCCCAAATCCATCCTACATTAACTATTTGCTGTCTCTCTCTGATTAAATATCTAAAAGACACCTCAAACTCAAAATGTTTAAAACCTAAGTTTCTAAAATCCCGCCTCCTGAAAACTGGCTTATTTAATCTTTTCTGCCCTTGTTAATGACAACTCTCTTTTTCCAGTTACTTTTTAATTTTTGGCTCTCCCTTCAGAGTGTATCAAGCATCCAACCACTTCTTACTTTATCCACTACTAACACCCTAGTCCTTTTTCATCACCCTCTTTCATCTGGATTATTGCAGTAGTTTATTAAGTGGTTTTCTTGCCACAACCTCTGTTCCCTTCTAATGTTAATGCAATAGAATGAGTCTTTAAAAAGCTAAGTCAAGGCGGGGCACGGTGCACACCTCTAATCCCAGCACTTTGGGAGGCCGAGGTGGGTGGATTACAAGGTCAGGAGATTGAGACCATCCTGGCTAACACAGCGAAAACCTGTCTCTACTAAAAATACAAAAAATTAGCTAGATATGGTGGCATGCGCCTGTAATCCCAGCTACTCAGGAGGCCTAGGCAGGAGAATCACTTGAACTCAGGAGGTGGAGATCGTACCACTGCACTCCAGCCTGGGTGACACAGCAAGACTTCGTCAAAAAAAAAAAAAAAAAAAAAAAAAAAACCTAAGTCAGGCTTTGTCCTCAGAACTCTGTAGTGGCTTTCCACATCATTAGTTGTAAAAGCCAAATCCCTACCACACATGTCAAGGTCTACAATGATTTGAGTCGCCTTGCCTTCCCTTGCGCCTCTTTGAACTCTGCTGTTCTCCTTACTTACTCCCTTTCAGCCACATGGACTTCATTGCCGTTCTTTGAACACACTAGGCCTTATCCTACATTAGGGAATTTGCTGAAATATTCTTTCCTACTTCTATCCAAGTCTTTACTCAGAATTTGCTATCTCAGAAAGGAGTTTCCTGACTGTCCTATGTAACCTTCTTCCCTGATTTATTATTTTTCTTTAACACCTATCAATATCAAATATACCATATATTTTAACTTATATTTCTTATTGTTTTGCCTAGAATTTAAGCTGGGCAATGTTTTTTTTTTTTTTTTTTTTTGGTCCAGTATTGTACCAACAACATCTATATCAATGCATTCAATATTTACAGAAGAAGTGGATCATATAGAAACCCATTCATTAAAACAAAATAATCAGTTCATTCATGGCAGTAGGCTAAAAAATTTATTTCATAGGAAATATGTAGTAGCTGTTGTACTTTTGCTTAAAATTTAAAAAACAGTAGGATTTAAGAAAATGAGCACTCATACATGGCTGGTTGGTGCTTAACTTGGTCAACTACCGTGGAGGACTATGTAACAATTTTTTTTTTTTTTTTTGACAGAGCCTCACTCTTTTGCTCAGGTTGGAGGGCAGTGGCATAGTCTCAGTTCACTGCAACCTCCGCCTCCCAGGCTCAAGCAATTATCCTGGCCTTAGCCTCCCAAGTAGTTGGGATTACAGGCACACACCATCATGCTCAGCTAAGTTTTGTTTGTTTTTAGGCTTTCACCACGTTGTCCCAGTTGGTTTTGAACTCCTGGGCTCAAGCAATCCACCCAGCTCAGCCTCCTAACGTGCTGGAATTACAGACATAAGCCACTGTACTGGCTTATATAACAGTCTTTAAAAGCCTGTAAAAAGTAACAAATCTTAGAAATTCTGCTTCTTGGAACTTATCCTAATAAAAAGAATACAGAAGTCTAGATACAAGCATGTTTCTTTCAGAATGTTTCATAATAGTAAAAAACTCAACTCAGTAAACCTATAAACATGAGTGATTAGGTAAACTATGGTAAAGTTAAAAAATGGAATACTACATAGCCATTAAAAAGTTATATTGTACATTAGTCACAGAAAGGTATTTATTATATATTACATAAAGCAGGTTACAAAACAGACATTTATTATCACTTTCTACTGACTCTCTTTTAAAGTATAAATGCATGTTTTTAAAAAACTGACAGAGTGGGGCATGGTGGCTTACACCTGTAATCTCAGCACTTTGGGAGGGCAAGGCTGGAGGATCTCTTGAGCCCAGGAGTTCAAGGTCAGCTTGGGCAACATAGTTGGGCCCTGTCTCTACCAAAAATGTTAAAAATTAGCCAGGTGTGGTGGCATACTCCTATAGTCCCCAGCTACTTAGGAGGCTGAGGCAGCGGGAGGATTGCTTGAGCTCAGGAGGTTGAGGCTATAGTGAGCTGTGATCATGCCAGTGCACTCCAGCCTGAGTGAACAGAGTGTGACCCTGTCTTAAAAATTAACAAACAAAAACTGGTAGTACCAATGTGTTAATGACTATTGTCTGCGGATTGTGAGGTTGTTTGTTTAAAACAGTTGTTATTCTTGTTTTTTAAAAACTTTTCTTCAATAAAGAGCAATATGAAGTAACAAACTCTCCTAGACTGCTCTTTCTATCTCTCAGTTTATTTTTGTCTTAGTGGTTATCACTCTCTAACATGCATACATTTTACTTATATTTGTTTGTCTATCACTACCCCCACTAGAAAGTAAGTTTCTTAAGGGCAGAGACTTTGTTTTGTTCACTGCTACATTCCAGGAGTCTAGGAAAGTATCTAGCATATAGTAGGTGCCATAAATATGTGTTGAATAAATCAAGAATGGTATATAGAAGATAAATGCCACATTTTATAGCATGTAATTTTGATGTCAGAGGAATTTGTTGTGGATAATTAAAGTATTTTAATGAAATTTTCCCCCATATTTTTCAAGGTTTCTAAATACTCTTTACAGAAGAAAGTGAGTGAAATGGTAAGGAAATTACAAAGCTTATTTTTTCCTCATCTGGATTAGTACTTAGGGGAATTAGTATTTTGTGAATAAATGTGACATTTATAGTGAAAAAATTAATAGTTGAAACTGGATATTATTGTCCCCAGTAATATTAAATGTGATACTTGCAATTTCACATGTTGTGTAAATGAATTATTTTACGAATTTTGAGATTACATAGTATTTATATAGGTTAAGCATCCCAAATCTGAAAACTCAAAATTTGAAATGCTTCAAAATTGGAAACCTTTTGAGCATCAACATGACGCTCAAAGAAAATGCTCATTGGAGTATTTTGGACTTTGGATTTTTGCATTTGAGATGCTCAACCTGTAGGTATAATGCAAATATTCTAAAATCCAAAAATATTCTAAATATGAGATGCTTCTGGTCTCAGCATTTCTGATTAGGGATATTCAACCTGTATATTTAAAATAAATTTTACACAGTTCCCAAATTTTTGTTAGGGTTTTATAGTAAACACAAACAATAAAACTCTAAAATCTCTTATTTTAATGGTATCTTTTCTAGATATTTGTGCAAACATGTAATTATTAATTATAGCCTGAAAAATTGAAATATACAAAGTAGTATTTGGGATATAATGTCAGTCTACACTTGGGATATGGTATTGATCCTATATTATTCAACAAGTATTTATTTGCTGTGCATTCCTCTTTTATAGTCTATTAAAAAACTAATGTTTTTGTTTTTTACAGCATAACATTTTATGGAATATTTACTTTGATATTTTTCCCTTTTAGCCCTATTTTATTCAGAAGGATTTTTTTTTTCTGTGTTTTTGGTTGAGCAAAATTCCCCATATCCTCTTAAATTGTCAAAGGGCTTTTTGGGTGGGGTTATGCTATTCAGTCTTCATTCTTTGGAGCAGACTATAAAGCAAGTAAAATTAATTGTTGAGTAAGGCATATATATTACATATATGAGAAGGAGGAAATGAACTGTCACTCCTTCTGACATTACATACAAAAACATAAAGTATTTTGCTTCTCAAAATTGTTTGGTGTGTTAGAAAATAAAAGAACCATAGAGAGATTGCTAAGCTTGATTGAATAAAAGATGTGAAAATTCTGTTGCTGTTCAACTGGAAAGAATAAAAATAATATTGTCAGACTATTTTAAACCATGATTTTAATTAAGAAGCTGAAAAACTAGATTCTGGTTTAGCTTTAAGTACCATGACATTTGTACTGAAAGTCATCTTCAACGCTACAGTGGTTTTACACAAAATATAGTGAAATTGAATAATGTGCCCTTTGACCTGGGAGATAAGGCTACAAGTTAAAGATCAAAGGCAACATAAAATGTGTTTTTGTATTCCACTTTAAAATTTCATCAAACAGATATTTAGAATTTTTTAAAAAACATGGAAATATGTATATACTTATTCTAGTTTTTAGTAACTTCTAAGCTTTTTGTTATTGTGAATTACAACATTTATACCAACTAAAATGATATTTAAGTTATAGTCATAATTTTTTTCTGACAGTTCAAAGCATTGCATCAGTAATTTAAAAAGTTTTATATATTGATACATTAATAATTTATATTTCTTGCAGAACATTTATATTTTGGATTTAAATGTTAGAAGTATTCCTTTTTCTAAGCGTTCTTGCATGTATTAATTTTACGTTATTCTTGTTACATTATAATTATATAATTTAGATGACTTGTTCTTTTTTTTGAGGCCGAGTCTCACTCTGTAGACAGGCTGCAATTCAGTGGTGGGATCTCGGCTCACTGCAATCTCTGCCTCCTAGGTTCAAGTGATTCCCCTGCCTCAACCTCCCCAGTAGCTGGGACTACAGGTGTGCACTACCATGTCCAGCTAATTTTTTGTATTTTAGTAGAGACAGGGTTTCACCATGTTGGCCAGGATGGTCTTGATCTCCTGACCTTGTGATCCACCTGCCTCAGCCTCCTAAAGTGCTGGGATTACAGGCCGTGAGCCACTATGCCCAGCTGACTTGTTCTTTGTTCAAAGTGCTGTACCGTATTCAGTAATTCAGTTAATCTTATTTTATTCCAATCTTATTTTATTTTATGGTCAGGAAATAGGTTAGCCACTAGAGTGAAGACAGGACTTTGGGGAGCAATAGATAAAGTTAGTGTCCTAAAATAAGTAACTTGAAAAATAGTATTAAGAAAATTTAGGCCGGGTGCAGTGGCTCATGCCTATAATCCAGCACTTTGGGAAGCCGAGGCGGGCGGATCATGAGGTCGAGATCAAGACCATCCTGGCCAACATGGTGAAACCCCGTCTCTACTAAAAGTACAAAAAATTAGCTGGGCGTGGTGGTGTGTGCCTATAGTCCCAGCTACTCGAGAGGCTGAGGCAGGAGAATTGCTTGAAACTGGAAAACGGAAGTTGCGATGAACCAGGATCGTGCCACTGCACTCCAGCCTGGCCATAGAGCGCGACTCTGTNAAAAAAAAAAAAAAAAGAAAAGAAAATTTAAAGTTTATGAACTCCTATAGGTGACTCCTTAACTACTAATAAGTTTCTGTCTTCTGTGATTCAGTAAGCTGATTTTTAGAGGTGGTGATATGTTCTGAGGTAAATTAACATAATCACCAATCAAATGATTTTTTCCATCCCAAAAGTACCTCTCCTTTGAAAGAAATCACAGTAATTACCAGTAAAAGAATGCAATAAAAACGTGTTAGAGAGAAACCTTAGAACACTACATTTACCATCATTGTAATCTGGTCATTGATACAAATCATTCCTGCTGTGTTCAGTTTACTATATATGTGACCATGTTGGGTATTAATTGAATTTATAGGTGTCTATGTTGTATAGCTGAGCAGCTAATACAGTTTAATGAAGAAAGTAAATGTGTCAAACCACTGTCGCATTGTATTTCTCTTCGTGTATCATTTTCCTCCAAATAAAATACTTATAAGAAAGATTTTTTTCTTTATGAAATTAAAGGCATTTTAATATTGAAGGTTTTGATAGGATTAGGAATAACCACATACTTTCTTTCAGAGTAGAATATTTTTAAACCAAAGACTTATCTGGAAGTAACTGCATGATTATAAATGTTATGTATATCTGTCCACATATATTAGTAGCATGACTTTAGGTTTTAAAGTAATGTATGCCTTATATTTGCAACTAAAAAGGTAAGAGTATCTTAAGAAAAATACTCTTACCTTTCTTATGGAGTTATAAAACTCTTTGCAAATTGAGTTTTATAACTCCATTGATTTGGTTTGGATTCATACTGAAAAAATTAGAAGGTTAGTTGCAAAATTGGAAGTGAATGTGTTAAATTTATTTTTGATTGTTATCTTTTCCTCTAAAATTTACTCTTAACAAACTTGATCATTTTAAGGGAAAGTAATTTTATCTCCAGAAGTTTTCAAATCAGTCTCCTTAAGTAAATAGAAAAAGGGGGAAATGTGAAGCTGTGCCTTTAATAGGTAAATATATTTCTAAAAAGTTGTATGTAAATATGTTTACATTATTCCCATTTTAAATGCCTCAGGCTTTAAAGTAAGCTTTTAGACTATACACATAAATATAATTATGGATGTGCTATTTTTCATCTAATCTTGACTTTCATAGATTAGTTTTAAATGAGGTGCTACATGTGTTTAGAAAACAGTGAATGCTGACATGTTTTTGTAGACTGTCTTTGCATTTGATAGTAAAACTGTAAAAGAAAAATAATTGCTGTCAATTCATGCAGATAAAAAGATCCAAACAATATGTACTTAACTATTTCTTAATCATCTCAATAAAATAGCTTTATAATACATTAAAGTTTTAATAATAGTAAAAATCAATTTATTTGTATTCTTTAAAATATTCATACATCTCTACGGTGTTATTACCAATTACTTTTTGTCGCTTTTCAAAGAATTTAAGCTATTTGTTGATAGTCATGAAATTAGTGGCAAGCTTCATCTAATTTTCAAAACTAAATCAGGGTAGTAAACTAGGTTTATATAGGCATATGTGGGCTAATTAGCTATAGGTGTCCATGTGATTTAGAAGTCTTAATGGTATATATCATGGCCATTGAATAGGCTGATGTGTTTGAAAGTCAGAATTATATCATGCAGACAAATGCAATGAAACTGCAATTGTCATTGAATTCAATTTTGACTGCAAACAAAGGATATTGGAATAGAGTATATCAGAAATTACTCTAATGTGTATAAAGCTCTATGCATGAAATCTCTTTGATCTTTGCTACATTTTTAGTTAGCAGAATTATTAACCTTTGTAGGCACTGACTACTTATTTTATTCCTCACTTTTTAGCTGAAAGGTTAAAAAAGCTTTTGTGGGATCATATGTTATGTAGTAGACAGTATTCTCATGAAGGCTACATAAATATTGAATTAAAAAGTAAAACTTTCTTGAATTGAAAAATGCCATTAACCCAGGTTTCAGTGACATTGTGTTCGATTTCTACACATCTGTTGAGAGCTAATATAATTCTCTCACTCAGAAATTAAGGGATATTTTAGAAGAAAGGCATATGGTTCTTTATTGTTCACCATTACTGATAATAGTAACTACCCAGGTAGACATAAGCCCTCCAGAACTAAGTACATTTATCAACTTGTTTGCAGTTATAACTGCTGCACAATTAAATCAAATAAGCAGTGAAAATCCTGATGATATACATGAGAAACTTTCAACTAATATAATAATTACCAATAATATTATCATGTTTAAAATCATTAAAAAATAGCTTTGAAAAAGTTCAGACTACCATCAGACTTGCCAAGATAATATAGTTAGGTACAACTTTTAATGTGTGTTCTTCGTGTGTGTGTGTGTGTGTGTGTGTATTTTGTATGTGTGTGTGTATTTTGTATGTGTGTGTGACAGAGTCTTGCTCTGTCGCCCAGGCTAGAGTGCAGTGGCATGATCGCCGCTCGCAGCAACCTCTGCCTCCTGGATTCAAGTGATTCTCCTACTTCAGCCTCCCCAGTAGCTGGGATTACAGGCATGCACTACCACATTTGGTTATTTTTTGTATTTTTAGTAGAGATGGGGTTTCACCATGTTGGCCAGGCTGGCCACGAACTCTTGACCTTGTGATCTGCCCACCTTGGCCTCCCAAAGTGCTGGGATTACAGGCGTGAGCCACCGTGCCCAGCCCTTCATGAATATTTTAAAAAGGCCATGCTTATTCTAAATAAAAGTTAATCTAAACTATTGATACTTTTATCAGTTAAAGAATAATAAAGCATTTTATTGTGATTTTTATATAATGGGCTCTATTTTTTTAGTGCTTTATGTATATTAATTCATTTTATCCTCACAGCAACCCTATGAGTGAAATACTATTATAAACGTCATTCTAAAAATAGGGTAGATAATTTACCTAAGGTCACACTAAGTTGCAGAAACAAGACTTAAACATAGGCCGACTAGCTTTTTTCTTTCTCCTTTTTCCCTTTGCCTTCCCTTCCCATCCCTCCTCTCCCCTCCCTTCCCCTCTCTAATGGAGTCTCACTCTATTGCCCAGGCAGGGGTGCCATGATGTAGTATTGGCTCACTGCAACCTCTACCTCCCGGGTGCAAGCAATTCTCCTGCATCAGCCTCCCAGTTAGCTGAGATTACAGGTGCCTGCCACCACACCTGGCTAATTTTTGTGTTCTTAATAGAGACGGGGTTTCACCATGTTGGCCAGACTGGTCTCAAACTCCGGACCTCAAGTGATCCACCCACCTCGGCCTCCGAAAGTGCTGGGATTACAGGCGTGAGCCACTGCTCCCAGCCTATGCTTTGTTTTTTTCTTTCTTGTTGTTTGTTTGTTTTTTGAGATGACAGAGTCTCGCATTGACTTTGTTTTTATTTTTCTTCTTGTTTGTTTTTTTTCTGAGGTGACAGAGTCTCGCTTTTGTCGCCTGGGCTGTAGTGCAGTGGCACGATCTCAGCTCACTGTGACCTCCACCTTCCAGGTTCAAGCGATTCTCCTGCTTCAGCCTTCTGAGTAGCTGGGATTACAGGTGCACGCCACCATACCTGGCAAATTTTTGTATTTTTAGTAGAGATAGGGTTACACTATGTTGGTCTGGCTGGTCATGAACTCCTGACTTCATGATTCACCTGCCTCGGCCTCCTAAAGTGCTTGGATTACAGGCGTGGGCCACGGCGCCCAGCCTGTACTTTGGTTTTAAGTAATAAGAAATGGCTCTCGTTAACTTATGTAAAACAAAATTTAGGAGAGGCATTGACAATGAGCCAGAGAATAAAGAATTATTTGAGAATGAACAGGGACCCAGAGTAATTCCAGTGTTAGTGAGAGTCTTCTTACTCAAGATTCAAATTCCAAGAAGGTAGAAACCAATTGGTTTGTTTTGAATAACACGCCCTTCTCTTAATTAGGGAAGAATAGGATCCCCAAATTTTAGTCCTGTTGTAATGTTTAGTCCATGTTGTGATGAAGTTTAGTCCCTGTTGTAATGAAGAACAAGTATTTCAACAAAGTAAATTGTGGTGCTATTAGGTAAGGGAAATGCATATTTGTTAGGCAAAATCAAATTTTTACTATTAGAACTCTATAAGACAACAACAGTTCATTCAGAAAACAATTATTGAGTGCCAGTTGATGGGCCTATACTGTTCCTTGTTTAGAACTGCTCATCACAGAAGGTGAAGCAGTTGTGGGAAAAAATGTGAATGAAAGTTATGAAACCAATTAATGATTCTGCTAATGTCAAGTGAAGATAAAAAACTTTAAACAAGTGTTATTGATTCTATTAACATAATATTTATTTTTAAGAGTTAAAAGTCATATTCCTAAGTATGGTAAGACTAGTTCCTTTAGCTGAAAGCAGTGGAGGCTCATATAATATTACATAAGTAGAGTCTTAATTTTAGCAACTATGTCTCCAATTTAAGTAGACTATCTACTATCCTTCTATCCTATGTTGCCTTCCTGTCACTGAGAGATATTATCCTTGCCATTTCATTTTTCTTTCTTTTTCAGAGATGGGGTCTTTCTTTGTCACCTGGGCTGGAGTTCAGTGGGCGAACATAGCTCACTGCTGCCTCTAACTCCTGGCCTCAAGCAATCCTCCTACCTGAACCTCCCAAGTAGCCAGGACTACAAGCATGTGCCACCATGCCAAGCTAACTTTTTTATTTGTGTAGAGATGGGGTCTTGCTATGTTGCCTAGGCTGGTCTCAAACTTCTGGCCTCAAGCGTTCTTCCTGCCTCATCATTTAATTTCTTAATGCAGTGAGAAGGTGCTATATTAATTAATATCAATCTCAGAAAAATTACTTGAATTTTGATAATGCACATTGAAATTATGCTAGCAAATTGAAAGGGCAAAGAATCAAGATAGTGATCTAGCTAGGTCCTGATTATTCAAACGATTGAGAGAAAGAAAAAATATTTTCTAAAGTACCAAAAGTATTGCCTTAATTTTCTCCTCAATTTTCTTAGTGTTAGGCTTATTAACATTTTTTATAAAAACATTTTGAAGGGCCGGGCGCGGTGGCTCAAGCCTGTAATCCCAGCACTTTGGGAGGCCTTGGCGGGTGGATCACGAGATCGAGACCATCCTGGTCAACATGGTGAAACCCCGTCTCTAATAAAAATACAAAAAAATTAGCTGGGCATGGTGGTGTGTGCCTGTAATCCCAGCTACTCAGGAGGCTGAGGCAGGAGAATTGCCTGAACCCAGGAGGCGGAGGTTGCGGTTAGCAGAGATTGCGCCATTGCACTCCAGCCTGGGTAACATGAGTGAAACTCCGTCTCAAAAAAAAAAAAAAGCATTTTGAAAAAGAAATTGCAAACAAAGGAAACAACCTGAAGTGACTATTTTGCTACAGGAAAAATATGTTCACTTTAGTTTTACATAGATTTAGAAGTATCTCCTAACTAATATTTCCTACTTACAGCTTACTCAGAGAGTACTTTTACATGACATTCATTTATGGCATATTAATAACAGTTGTTTAATATATTTTTACATATTTGGGCTTTGTGTGTGTGTGTGTGTGTTTGTGTGTGTTATATGTGTAACATTTTAAATTACTCTTCAAAATAGGAACAAAAGGTCCAGTTACATCTTCTGGCTAAAGAAGACCATCATAAGCAACTGAGTGAAATTGAGAAATACTATGCCACAATAACAGGTCAATTTGGTTTGGTAAAAGAGAATCATGAAAAGTTAGAACAAAATGGTATGTGCTATCTTATTTAAATATACATTTTCAGTAGAGAATGTTGGAATTAACCTATTTCCTATGGATACATTGAATTTCTATGATAATACTCAGTAATAAATGGCAGTTAATGACTGCTATCTGAATTAAATAACATATATTACATTGTTACTGTTTTCCCTGTTTATCTTAATGATATTTTCTTTAAAATATACATTGAATATATGCTTTCTTAAGTGTCTTTCATGTTGCAGTACGGGAAGCAATACAATCAAACAAAAGACTTTCAGCTTTAAATAAAAAACAAGAAGCTGAAATATACAGTTTAAAGAAGGTATGACTGATATAGTTTCACACTACTAAGTAAAAATTATAATCTAAAATAGTCTTATGGGTTATTACTAGAGGACAATTGGATAGATTTTTGGGTAGAAGAATAAATAAAATGTTTTCAATACAAATACATAAATTTTGAGTTATGATTCCAGTAAAGGTAATTAGTGAATTTGTTGCAATCCATTCAAAATATTATTTCTTTGACTTGTGACCAGTAGCATGCAGTTTTATGGTGATAAGACTAGCTTTTAAGGATTCATTGTATGTCATCCTTATTAGCACCATTCATTCAGTATTTATTGAGTGACTTTTATATACTGGGTGCTATGTGGCACTTAGGATACACCTATGAAGAAAATAAAACATGTTTCTACTTTTATGAAGTTTAGAGTCTGGTGGTGGAGTTAGACATAATACAAATCATTACGCAGACTAAATAATGTAAAACTGTTATAAATGAGCTGAAGTAAAAGGTGTGATGATATCACAGGTGACTTTATTAGATTGGGGCTAAGAGGGTGGAGGAGGGAAGGTAGTAATGTTTCAGGCAAGCGGAATAGCATGTGCAAAAGCCTTGAGACAGAAAAGAGTTTGGTATATTTGAGGAACTAAAAAAAGTCTGATATGGCTGGAGCATAATGAATGAAGGTGTGAACTGAACATTTATTTGTTGCTTACTGAGCATCAGTATCCCCTTGCCTTCTTTCTAATCTTATCTAGATTTTCATTTTGATATCTTCAGCTTTAAAGCTGAGCCCTAAATTGGCAGATCGCTAACATATTTCTTTCCTCTGGCCATAGTCATTGGTTCAGGAATGGATAAATGATTTTAGCTAGCTTCTGGAAGAACATAACCTCTGCTGTGGCTGGCAGTCAGCATACAACCATGAGAAAAGCCAAAAATTAGGAACCTGACAGTGTGGATGCCAGACTGGCATCACATAAAGAAAGCTGTTCTTTGATGACATTGTTGAGTAACTGGACCAACCAACCCTGCGTCTTGTCCTACCTCTAGACATTTAAATTATGTGAGCCAATAAGTCCCCATTATTATTTAAGCCAGGTTGGTTAGGGCCAATTCAGTTTTCCATGATTTGCATCTAAAAATATTCCAAATGACACAGAGAGTTGGTATGAGAGGAAGAAGTAGGTAAGGCTTTGTTCTTTTTATTGAGAATGATATCTGTTTTCCTTTCCCACCCTTCCAAACCCTCTCTCAATATCACTTTTAATCATTTTAGGACCACCTCTCTACCTCTGAGAGAATTAAGTACCTATGCTTACTGGCACTCTATAATTATTTTGAAACGATATTTACTGAGTACCATTTAAAATGCACTTAATTTGTAGTTCTTTAATATATTGGTATGCAAAAAAATCTTCTGTTTGTCCCTCTAGATCTATATTTACCTTTTGAGGGCTTATGTATATGGGTTGCATCAATGGGCTTCCATATCTTCTGACTTCCTGTTGAGCTGGGCCAGTGGAGAGCCTAGGCAGAAGATGGGAGGAAGGAAAGAGTGAATCAGGGTATTTATTCCCCTGTTCCTTCCCTCTGAGGCAACTTCAGGCTGGCCATATCCCTCAACAGTTCACTACTTCTCTCAAATTGGCCTTATCTATATGATACTCTCTTTTTTTGGGGTTCCAGTAACCTCTCTCCTTGTCCTTCTTGGTCTAGAGGTGGTGGCACCTACAGTGCGGCTAGTCAATGGAACTGAACGCCATCCCTTGTGGTTCCTTTATATCCTGCCTGCACCTTTGCAAATAAACCCATCTTTAGGTTGTCCTAATTTATGTGTGCCATCTGTTTCTGCTGGGATTCTGACATATACTTATTTAGGGTATAACATTAGTGAGGCCAAAGTTATGAATTCTGTTTTGTATAGGCTAGTTGATTCAGTACGGAGAAAGTTGTTTCACAGTTGAAGACTGCACTCTAAACCTCACCTATGGTTTTTAGTAGTATATTTTGGACTCAAGGGATAAATGAATAGGAATGGTATTATTCAGATATACCATTACTTTTGAGGAAAAAATAATTTCTACTAATTTGGGTCAATGTTGTCATCTTGACTAAAAGGATCCTATTTTTAAAAGGAAAAAAATACCAAAACTCTAAGCATTTATACCTTTATATATACATAGACTTTCACTATTTTTTATTTTAATTAATAAACTATTTTTAGAGCAGTTTTAGGTTCACAGCAAAACTGAGTGGAAAGTACAGAGTTTTTAATTTGTAGTTATTTAATATATTGATATACAAAAATATATTGGTATCCTTCACAATCATATCCTCACTAGCATTTGGTGTTGTCAGTGTTTTGGACGTTGGTCATTTTGATGGGTGTGTAGTGGTAACTTGTTTTGACTTGCAATTCCCAAATGACATATGATGTTGAACGTATTTTCATACACTTACTTGTCGTCATGTATATTTTTTGTTAAAGTGTCTCTTCAGGCCTTGGGCCAATTTTTTAATTGGGTTACTTGTTTTCTTATTGTTGAGTTTTCAGAGTTCTTTGTATATTTTGGATAGCAGTACCTTCTAAATGCTAAGCCAGAGTTCAAAGACTGTTAATATTTATAATACTATTGACTGTGATATGTATATCTTCACTGTTATAACTGCCAATAAATTGATCATATATTCCTTGAACTTTATTCTTATACGTGAGTGATCAGAAAGTAAAAGCATAGGTGGATCTCAGTACAGAACTTTAGAATGGATGGTGATGATCATGTTTCTGGCCCTTAAAAGTCTTATGTCTATTTAGCAAACTACTCGAGTACAATTAATATGTAGGAAACATTTTTTTTTAGTTATATCCTTGAAAATTAGAGATGGCTCTTTTTTAACAAAAAGAGAAAAAGCTATAATTTAAAAAATCTGTTTGGAATCCCAAGTCAGAATTAATAAAAGGGCCATTCATTTCTATCAATAAAAACTTCATATATAAATAACTAAATATTAAATCAGTAGTTGTGAATAAACACCTTTTTATTTATGTCTCTGTGGTTCATTTATGTTTTAATATTTTTAACAATGACTTTAGTAATTAAATAACAATTTGGTGATTAAAATATTCATATGCCTTTATACAGTTAGTTTCTGCATTCTTATGAAAATATTATGCCTCATAAATTTTTGTACTGATTTTTTTTTGCATTAAATGAAAACAGATGCCTCATTGTAACATAATAGACTATTACATTTCTTTTTTAAGATGGAGTCTCACTCTGTCTCCCAGGCTGGAGTGCAATGGTGCAATCTTGGCTCACTGCAACCTCCACCTCCTGGGTTCAAGCCATTCGCCTGCCTCACCCACCCAAGTATCTGGGACTACAGACATGTGCCACCGTGCCTAGCTAGTTTTTGTATTTTCAGTAGAGATGGGGTTTCGCCATGTTGGCCAGGCTGGTCTCAAACTCCTGATCTCAAGTGATCCACCCGCCTCAGCCTCCCAAAGTGCTGGGATTACAGGTGTAAGCCACCATGCTGGCCCTGACTATTACTAATACATAGTTTAAGACTCTGACCTATAGATGGAGATGAGGTTCATCTAGATTCATGGAGAGATATCCTTAGTGGATTTACATAAGAAGTTGAGGAGTGTCTCTTTCTATGTGTGAGAAGAACAGTGTTGCTCATAAGAACACTTGCCTCTTTCTCTCAAGTCTTGGGGACTAGGCTAGAGCTACCTAAATGTACTAACATGTCATGTAGTGGTGATCTCTGTCACTCTAGAAAACATTAGTGTCAGTGTTCATGCTGCAAAGTTGTTCTTGAAAGACAGACTGTAATAGAAGGGTAAAGTGAGAAAATTTAATTACACTTGAGACTTCAAAGTTCATGTCACTGAAAGGGTGAGAATTTAAAAATATATATTCAGAGCCATTTTTTAATATTGCAGACATTCTAAGTACACTAATTTTATATTTTGTGTGTCTTATGTGGCTTTGATTTTTAACTTTGGGAAAAGATTTTTTTTTTAACTTTTTCAGAAGAGAATCAAATTTTGTAACATTGGCTATATCACTCATTTAAAACTTCTAATCATTAATTCTCCCAAAGATAATTTCAATTTTTCTTAAACTGTTCTATGATTTTGTCCAGAACAGTTGTTATTGGTTTGTGATAAGGTGGAATTCCTTTTTTTTTTTTTTTTTGTGGAGCAAAGTTAAACAGACCAAACTTAGTGGTTAGATAAAAACTAGGTATTACCATTCTGAATGCTGAGTTCACCGTTACGGCAATCATGAAGAATCCCTGATACTATCTATGAGCAGCATTCATAACCTCTGCTATTTGTCTGAGTAAATGTCAGAGCATTCAAGGAGATAGTGATATTAAACAGACTACCCCATACCAGAAAGGGAGGGGTGAAGGAAAAAACAGCGAAATATTTATGACTCCAGGAACTGTAAGTTGTAATTTAATGAGATCAAAGCATGTGCTGTTTATTTGCTGCACTAATAGCTTTGAATAAAACGGTTAGAAAACAGACAATGTACTAAAAGTTCAGGATATTTAAAGGCTTATAAAGTCTATAAAATCAAAAGCATATTTTTCAGGGGAAGATCTTTTCGTGAGGTCTCTGATTTTAACTTATGCTCTTGAGATTAAGTAACTAATATATAAGAGAAAAAGACAGATGTAAGAAGTTACTAGTTTTTACTTGTGTCAGTCATATGCTGGTTTTCTATACCCGTCTTCTCACCACGTCCCTATTGTTTCATAGCAATAATTGTAATAGGAATGTGTGCATTTTGGAGTATCTTCTTTAAGACTTAACTGATTATGACAGCTCAACATTTTCAATTGTTGAAAAATATAGAAAAACATAGATGTTTCTTGCATTTTGTAATCTTGATGAGGAAGAAACTTTTAGAAAATCAATCTTTATGTAGATAATTATAAATCATTTTATGCAAATATGTTTTAGCCATATGCCTTTTATCAATAGGACATTACATTTTAGGAGTGAATCTAGA